CACACCTTCTCTACAGTAGTTTACAATTTTTTTTGAACGAATACCACTTGGTACTAGAGGTTCGTAAAATACAGTAGATGTTTTATTAAACAAGCCTTTCCACCGTGTGACGTCGACGACCTGAAACTGGCTGGCTGTTTATCTGGCTCTAACTTGGCATCGAACGCAATTAGGGGATTATCGTATCATGTTTCAAGACGGGTATATCTAGATAAAGTTCGACGTGAACCAGGCTGGATTGACGGTAGTCCATGAGATGAGATATACCAGTTAGCAAAATCAATTAAATTTTGGAGCCCAGTGGTCGTTACGCTAGCAAGCAAAATATCTGTCTCTTATACACATCTAGATGTGTATAAGAGACAGGATTAAAGCAGTCAACGTTTTTAATGGAGCGTTTGAAGTTGCTACGATAAGTTTCATTAAATATATATTTGCATAGAGAAAAGTATGATCGATTTGCAAACCGATTTTTAAACCTATCAACAAGTGTATTCTTTTGAAAAAGATATATCCTTTTCCTGGTCGTTAAGAAGGTGAGCATAAAAAGATCTCGCCTTGGATATATTATTCATACTTAGGCATACAAGGTCCAGTTGGCGTGTAATTAGAATATCATTTATTTTTGGAACGTTTAGGACATGTAACAGAGGTGTAGTTTTACAGTATTTCATATGGAAACGTTTTTGCCACTTTTTATCATTGCTAGCCCAGCTATGACGAAAGCAGCGAACTGAGGTCAATTCAACCCCGCTGTACAAGTAGGTTGGATCAACATTGGGTTTGTTTCATTTTCATTATGGGGTTAAAATACTAACAAAATTCAATTTGCACAACCACTATTCTTTTGTTAAAACCCTACGCTACACCCCTACGGAAACTTTCAAACGGTCCAGACTATAAATTACATTTTTTTGCAGAAATATAGCCAAATTGCTGCAAGTATCTTGTCTTAGGACATTTGTTTTTTTAATAAAGGTAATAAAAGCACACAAAAATCCAACTGATAACTAAATTAGGCCAAATTACATGAAGAAAGAAGTCAAACACTGCGAACACAAGTCAATCAAACAGAAGTATGACGTCATACCCGTTAATCGGACTATCACGCTTGAGAGATTTTTTTGACCCCATGAGAGGCAATCGTGGATTGGATGGATTTTGTATTTTCTTATTTTCCGATAAAACTACTCAACCAATCATACTAAGTTTTATATCAGCTTCAAGCTTATTATATTTCTCGAATCCACTTGGGCCAATTCGAACAAAGCAATAGGCTGTGAGTGAGGGAGTAGGAAACGAGCTCTGAACAGTCAAAAACCTCAAATTTCTTGAAATTCCCTATCTGAATCGGCGTGACGAGCTGTTATAAATTGGCGTATTCCGACAAAACTGTAGGGATTTTTTTCATTTTTTCTTCACTTTTGTGAGAAAAAAAAATCCAGTTTTCTCCAATGGTTAAGGCGACCTTGGAGAGCAAACGATACAACGTTTCCATATGTAAAGACCAACTGTTGCTTTAATAAGCTTATTCTGTGTAGTTTCTAATCTGTTAAAAAAAAAATTGTATTGGCGTTAATACACTGACAGCCATAGATTAGAATAGGGACCAACACGCTGTTCCATACGTGTGTTTTAACGCATGTAGGACCTTTGCACATGCTTATACATTGCAGGGAGTAAAATGCTCTTTGGCACTTACGGATTCTCTCATCAAAGTGTTTATGTGATCTACTAAGATCGTTTGATAAAATATCACCCAGATAATTTACGGAGTCAGTAACATCAAGTTTACAACCATTTAGGAACCAAGAGGGTTCAGTCATAAATGTATTATTACCGACGACAGTACATGTAGTTTTACTCGGATTAAATCGTAATCCATGAGATGAGATATACCAGTAAGCAAAATCAATTAAATTTTGGAGCCCAGTGGTCGTTACGCTATAGCAAGCAAAATATCATCGGCATAACAAAATGCGTTGAAGGCAGATTGGGCAATAACTATACCGCAGTTTAGAGCTTGAATAAAATCTCTAGTAAAATAGATTAAATATGAATGAAGATTACAACTAACCCCCCTTGTCTTGTACCTTTACGGATAGCAATTTTTCTACTTAGGGAACCACCCCACTTCACCTTCACCGTCAAATTTGTGTACCAAGATAGTAAGCATCTCCACCATGGATCATCAATGTTGTCACCTAATTTTTCAAAAATGACATCATGTGGGATTGCATCAAACGCGCCCTCGGCGTCTAGAGAACACGAAAATACATTGCAACCTTTATTGATGCAGTAGCCGAAGACGTCATTGACAGTGGTGCCAGCCATGGCTGTTCCTCTACCATAAAACCAAATTGTAAAGGGTCAAATTCAAAATTATCATACGATTCAAGAAAACCCAACTCGAAAATTTTTGAAATGGTACTAGAAACAATAATTGGCCGGTAGATTTTAGGCTGTGATGGATCAATGTTTGTTTTTTTAAGAATAGGTATGAGGTTACCTTCATGAAATTTACAGGGAACAATGCCCAATTGTAAACAAAATTTAAAATACTAGCCAACAAATCAGGTTATTTAGAGTTGATACTATGTTTCAAATGGTTTGCGGAAAGTCCGTCAGGCCCTGGGACTGATTTTGTATTAAGTAATGTAATTAGCTTTTAAATTGAGAATTTTTTTTTAAGTTTGAACTGAAGAAAACAGCCTGCTTTATGGTCTGGGCTTTACACTTAACAGATTCTGTGGCCTCTTGAATTTTGTCCGACTTAAATTCGTTAACATCAAATTTGGTTTCATAGAAATCAGCTAGAATTCGAAAAATAATGGTTTTTGCCTGTTTTTTTTTTTTCGGATAGGCAAGTTAGATGACAAAACAATTAAACCACATGGAAATCATGATGGTGCAATGATTTTGGTTCTCTACACCACTCTGTTATTGTGGTTTACTTTACTTTTTTCCCCCTTTTTTTAATTTATTTTTAGATAGCCTGTTCTTTTTTCAGTTCTTTGAATATCTTTCCGCTTTTTCAGTACGTTCTCCTTGCATTTTCTGGGTGACGCTTACAAACCTAGTTTATTTTTGCCTTTTTAATCAACCTAGTATTTTTATCATAATTATCATCATTATCATAATTATTAATGATTTATTATTTCGTTTTTTGTTAAAGGGATAGCCGGTCCATTACTATTCGACTCTTCTCCTCTGCTATCCTCGTTACGGGAATTATTACAATAATGCTTGTATATATCACAAGTTCAAATCTAAAACTAGCTGCACACTTCACTTCTAAAAGTTACCATGTGTAAGTATACAAAATTATATACTTCATTCATACACATAATTATAATTTTCAAGTCCCCTGTCGTTTAATGGATGTGCCACGTATGACAGTGATTAAGTTCACTGATTGGCATATCCTTGGCGCTCGTGAATAAAGAAATGAAATTTTAAAAAAAATAATAATTTTTTTAATTTTACCATTTTGCAAAATGGTACAGCCCTAAAGTACAAGGTACTCTCTTTGAGTATGTTATATGACTACCTGAATGTGCTATTGTAAATTGACGCCATTTCAGTGATTATTATGCTGCTATGTCAATATGTTCTTGAATAAAGCAAAAGTTTGAAACTGCGAAAATAAAATAAGAATTAAAATGTGTGTTACCAATATACTACAAAATCATACAAAAATTTTAATTTATACGGTTTTACTATTGAATAAAGCCAGTGAAATTATTTGATTATAAAAATAGTTGAAAGATTTTTACTATATTAATAGACGAGGACATATTTGACTCATATAAACCCTATTAATTATTATATTTCAATTATTTATATAGATTTATATTAAAGGAGAGACATGCCTTGGAATTCGTATTCTTTTAATATTCATTTCGTGTCTACGTGTATTGTAACGTCATTTTATTGCCTAAAATGAATAAATCAAATCAAATCAAAACAATATTGTAAACAAATTATTTTGTAGAAACTACTGGACGTCTAAACAGTTTAATGAGTCTGATAATTACGATTTCAACACTAGTTATTCAGCAATCAAGAAAGCGTAAGTAGAATTTTAAACATAGAAAGATCTTTATTTTAGAACACTTTTGCGTAAACGGACAAAAACGTAGTACCTGTGTGATACCTGTACCTGTGTGATGTGATAACACGTATCATGGCGCTTCATTATTACTTTCTATATATTGGCACAATATTTAGAATAGAAAAAAGTTTTAAAAATCACATTTATTCTATATATAAAGTTAGATCAACTGAAAGTGTACAAGTTTCCTAGGTAACAAATTTCAAATTTATGTATTAATAACGTTAATACGATTATAAACTTGCTGTTTACAACGGTAATTGTAGACCTATTAGAATTTTATAAGTAACGTTGTTACAACGTTTTGCTAACGTTGTTTTTCTTAGCATGTTGTGTTTGCTGGGCTATGGCCACTGAGATAAGATGAAAAGGATGATACTAGATAAAGTAATGGCACGACAGGAGTTTTTTTTTATTGTTGGTTTGCTATACATTAATTAATTATCAATTCTATTCTTAGATTGTACTCGTTGAGACGTCTTCTTCCACACAAACTTGTCATTTTCATTGAAAATCAAGAACAATCAAGAGATGACTTTAAAGCGCTGTCAATTACTTTGATTCAAAATGCAAAATGGAAAGAAGTTCCAAAGATATTTTCAACAGTTCCGAAAAAACGGTCTTGTGCAGTCATTGGAAATTCTGGCATCCTACTCAATAGCTCTTGTGGATCCGAAATCGATTCACATGAGTTTGTATTGCGTTCAAACATCGCTCCAATTTTAGGATTCGAGAAAGACGTTGGATACAGACACGACTTTGTTTCATTAAATCATGAACTTTCACGGATTGCCACCTCTTGTTTAGAAAATTCATCGAATCCATGTTTTGAAGAAATGGTGAATAGGTTTAAAGTTTATGACCAATCAATAATCTGGCTCTCCAAACTTAGTGGTAAAACATCGAAGAAAACTTATCTTGGAGTATTATCGCAGCTGCAAAAACACAACATAAATCCAAAGATTGCATACCCTTTCACGTCGATTAGAAGACGTATTGTAAGGTATTAGCGGTATATTATCGATAATTGCTTCGAAGCAGCCAATTCATATTCTTGACAGCAATTTGACCTCTGAAGGTCATTGTTTGTCAAAAAACAAGGGCCTAAGACGACTGAAAAGCGGAGTTTCCTTCCTTCGTTCTGCCGGGTAATAAATCAATTATTTTAGGCGACGTTTGTAGACTAACCAACACATACCAACGTCCGCATGTCGCGTAGCCTTATCCTACTCTAGGCCTAGACTAGCTAGGATGGTATAGGCCTAGCCTTGAAGGGACGAGGGTCCCAATGAAAAACAACGTCGCTCCTTGATAGCTAACATTGTTTATTTAACATCACAATAATTCATTATTAGACATAGCTGTTTTATGAATTGTACTCCACAAATCTCAGCCGATACCTCGCACAACTCGAGTAACGTCTCGTATCTATTGTCGTGAACAGCGTGACCACTCACAATTTGTGATATACCCAATGACTGGGTCGAAATTACCCAAGATTCAGCAAAAATTGCCCAAAATTACCCAAGCTTCCTTAAAATGCATTAAAATTTGAAAAATAAGTGTTTTTCGCATGTATAGTTTCCCTTTTAGTTCAACTTATGAACCATTTTTATTGTAATTGTTTGTGTTAATTATTAAAATTAATATTCATGAGGTGATAATACGGATAGAAAAATACGCCCTCAGTCGGCCAGTGTTATCAGTGTAGACCAGTGATCAAGTTTGCATTAACTAGGTAAGATCAATGGCAACGCAAATCACAAATAAACAATTCTGAACATATGTTTATAGCAATTAACAGTCAATTAAGAATGTTATGTGCACTTCGTTGAGTTTTACTTACTTGAATGGACTAAAATATACTTTGTTAGGCCTACTTCTTAATTTTTCCTCTATGATAAAAATATTTAATTTTCTTAGTAAAAATAAAATACCCAAAAATTTGAACGGAATACCCAAGAACCCAAGACCAAGTCAAAATACCGAAATTCTTGGGTAAATACCCAAGCAGTGGTCACGCTGGTCGTGAAGTCATGGCTCGCTGGCTCACACTTTGCTCACACTTGCGATGTCTCGCACTGTGATCAAATAACACGCTGGCTCGCACTTTGGCAACACCCTTTAGCAGTCAACTCGCCCCTAGAAAACCCGCCCTTGGAAACTCAGCCCCATAAAAAAAAATGGAAACTCAGCCCCTTAAAAAAAATGTACACTTTCTAGACCATGCAGTCTTCAAAATAAAAATTGTCACCTTTGGTAATCAACTACATTTTCCACATACATAGAAATTTTTGAAACTTTATTAAAAAAAACCTAAACCATAATTCACCACTATAGTACGAAAGCATATTCGTGCCACTAAGGCTATGTTCACACACACGGCGTAAGGCTGGCTTAAGCATGGCGTAGCGTACGCCTTTGTGTGTGAACTAGGTAGTGGCGTTGTTAAAGCCACTCACTACGCCACGTCCTTGGCGTTATTAACGCTACCTGCAGACCCCAGATTAGCTAACGCCACTGAGCTAACGCCAGTGATGCTTGAATGATTTTGTCTCATTTCAAGAGATTGACCAATCACGATTGCAATAGGCCTATATTAGCTACTTTGGTCTCTTTCCTGTGCTCTCTATAAATGAAATGGTAAAGGGGTTCCTTTTCTATTGCATTTTACTTTATAATGTATATGATTTATTGATTGTGTTTTGTAAGATATTTTAACCATTTAGACTGTCTATTAAAACAAGCAACATCAACAATGCTAGCTAAAAAAAAAGTAAAATTGTTCATTTAAAATACAATAATCATATAAGTTCACTTCGAACAATTCAAAGATTTAAAAGTTTTTTTGATGCACTGTTAATTTTACTTCTGTTAACACGTACGTTATTTAAAACTGAAAACTATTCCACATAGACCTATATTACTGCTAGTTTAACGAACGCCGTTTGGAATTTTAATCCGTGGATTAGCTTACGCCTGGCGTAAGCCACGCCAGTCTTACGCCGTGTGTGTGAAAATAGCCTTAAGTATATAAAATCATCAAAATGTAATCCGAAATTTCGGATTAGTAATCCGAAATAACGAATTAGTAATTCAAAATAACGAATTACTAATTCGAAATTTCGGATTAGTAATCCGAAATAACGAGTTACTAATTCGAAATAACGGATTACTAATCCGTTATTTCGGATTATATTTTGATGATTTTATATACTTAAGTGGCACGAATAGGCTTTCGTACTATAGACACTTTTTGACAAAAATAAAAAATTACGACTTTGTTACCCAATGAGAAGTGTTCTAATATAGACAATGGGTCGTGTCTCATATTATTTGTTATATTTTTATTATTCATTATTTTCACTTGACTCGCATAAATAATTTTGTTCGAAGAACATTTATATGCAGTTGTACTTCGCAGTATATCGTGGAAGTGGTTTGGCGCAGTAGGAACGGTTTGGTTTCCCAACCTTAAGGTCGGGGTTTCAATCCCCCCCCCCAGCCGCTGTGCATTCCACTTGTGGCCTTGGGCAAGGCACTTTATCTGCATTGTTTCTCTCCACTCAGGAGTATAAATGGGTACCGGTACCTAGTAGGGTTAAATGCCAAAATGCGCTGATGTAGCTGCTGCAACGTTATGGAATACTGCCTCAGGGAGCTTGGTTTGTGTTCCATAGGCGTTTAATCCAATGACCGGGGTATTATACGGTAATGTGAAGCGCTCAGACTCCTACACCCTCTCCTTCAGCATTAAACGACAAAACGGGATCTTCGAAAATGTACTTTTTAAATGAATTATAATACAACATAGAGATAAACATTAAACTCTCCTCCCTCTTTCTGGTGGGAATCGAACATGCAATGTCTCGCTATCTCGACCGTTTAGAATATTACATATGACCGTACGATATCATTACGAATTAAAGACCACTAGTTCTCATTACAACTTGAGTGCTCACCCATGCACTTTCTCTCATTAAACTGACTAAAACGCTTACATATAATGGATAAGCTAGGAAAGGTTATAGGTGGCGGTTTAGAAATCATATTAAATAAAATTCAAATAATGTTTGCTACATAGCACCGTAAACACAATTTTAATAAATAGATAAATAATAATAACAGTGATGAAATAAGAACAAAGTGGCATAATCCTATCAAGCATTGCTCTTCAACAAAAGTTTTTTTTTTAATTCTGTTGTATGAAAAGTAGTGTCACTGGCGGGAATCGTTACAACCTCTCGCGGTCAGGGCGAGTGCCATATTCATTTGACCACGGAGACCTATATAAGTGGAGATTTAACCCCCAGGCACTTTATCTCATACAACTGACTGAAACACTCACTCATATAGTAGAGCTAGATAAGCTAGAAAAGCTTAATTATAGGTTGCAGCTTGGAAATCATAGTAATTAATAATATCTAAGGTTTGCTGCATAGCACCGTAAATACAATATAAACAAATGGATAAATAATAACCGTGGTGAAATAGCAACAAGGTGGTATAATCGTAACAAGCATAGCCCTTCAACGAAAAGTTTCTTGTTAAATCAGTTGTATGAAAAAAGCGTCTGTGGTGGGAATCGAACAAGACACCTCCAGCTGTAAGGGCGACTCATATGCATTACACCACGAAGACCTAAGATATACGTGCAGATTTAATGCCAATTTAACATCTAGGCACTTTTTCTCATACAACTGACTGAAACATTATTTTCTGTCTTATTTTCATTTATATATATATATATATATATATATATATATATATATATATATAAAATGTGTGT